TTGTTTATTTTAGCATTCCCTTGTTCCTGACAGCATACCTCCCATCTTTCTGAAATGAGAAGAAGAGACACCTTTTAGCCCAAAGTATGTAGCCCAAAGAACGCAACGCTGCTACGCACCAAGTTATGTAGACCACAAAGAATTAATCTCACTGCTTTTCCTTTATGCTGGCTTTTCGAAATAACCAGTGCAATAATTTTGAGGTTAGACTAAAAGTGTAGTATAGCACTTTTTGTGGATCAGTAGTGCATTTTATAAAAGTCTATTTTTTAAAGGGCTATAAAAAAGAGGCACAGTTGAGACAGTGGCATCACTAGGGTTGGTGTCACCCGATGCAGTAAAACATGGTGTCAACCCCCCACATCGGGCTCTCTCCTGTCTAGCCTGCCACAGTGTCCTGCAGGGCAGGGAAGATAATCCATAAAGTGCTCCATATAGATGTGGAAATTCACTTTGAACTCCACCTTATTTTAGTTGCTCTCTTTAGGTATTAGATGTGCAGAAAATAATGTGAGAGCACATCTAATACCTAAGAAGAGTTATGGAAATCAGGTGGAGTTGGAAGTGAACTGTGCCATTACCTGGAGGGATTGGCATTTAGGAGGTTAAAACAGGCGGTGAGGAAATTGTATCACCTCCTCACTGCCTGTCAAATGCCTCTGAAAAGTGATCTGAGCATGGATCACTTTTTAGTGGAGTGACAGTGCCTGCTGCAAGTGTGAACACCCCTTTAGGTTCACACTGGGTGCTGTGGTTTGGCCGGCCGCAGTGGTGGTGTACTCGCAGTTTTTCTGCATGTTACCCCCGATTATAGCCGCAGTCCCATAGACTTCTATTAGGTTGTGTGTTTTTGCTGGGTTTTTTGAAAGCTCGCCAAAGATGCAGCATTCAGGACTTCTGGTGTGCTTTTATAAAATGAGGCAAAAATGTACAACCTATTAGAAGTTTATTGTGCTGTGGCTATAACCACGGGTAACATGCAGAAAAATTGCGAGTACATCAGCACTGTGGCCAAACCACAGCACACCAGTGTGAACCCCCCTCAAAGCACATAGAACCAAGTACTGTTCCAGGCTAACATTGAGGAAAGGTTCCGCTGGGGGACAACATAGGAAAGGGGAGGAAGGAGAGAGATTCGGGAGAGAGATGGTAGGAAGGGAGGAAGGAGGGCGAGATTCCGGTTAACTACTCAGCAAGGGAGAATGTCACCAGCACACCGAGGATCACCAATATGCGTCCAAAAGTTTTAATAAACGGCATGCAGTCACATGCCTGATGAAGGGGTCCTGCGAGACTCCGAAACGTTGCCTTGCTGTAACTATGTGATCTTTTATTAAAACTTTTGGACCCATATTGGTGATCCTCGGTGTGCTGGTGACATTCTCCCTTGCTGATTCTGTTCGGTTCCAGCCGATGGTCGCTGCAGCACCCACTTATACACACAGCCATTTTTAACGCAGGAACGTGTGCGTTTGGATTGTACACTTGCGGGGAAATACTCACTCACTTCAGTCCCCGGAGGCTCAGTCAGCAGCTTCCTATTTACTGGGGATGTTGGCTGCTTGATTCAAAGTTTCCCGCCCACACGTCCTCATCACACACACACAGCACATGAGCTGAACAGAGTGTGGGTGGGCCTGGGAGGAGGCAGAGCAGATACAGTCTCTCCCATTCCTGTGAATGGGGGGAGCTGTGGGGTCTCAGCTCAGTAAGCACGGAAAACAGACACTCAGCCCTGTGACAGGTGCAGCAACATCTCTGTATTTACAGAGGGATGGCAACAATGATGGAGCCCCCTACACCCGGCTTAAATGGCCAGTCCAGTCTGCTTTCTAGCTGATGGTGTCACCCCTCTGGCCGGTGTCATCTGGGTGTGATCTTCACCCCCATAGTAACTCCACTGAATTGAGGAGGAAAGTGAGGCAGAGGGACAGTACCTCCAAATTAGGGAGAATTGGAAGATTCCTAATGTGACAAACAGCACCTTACTGAACAAACTATGGCTATGGGCAGGCACAATACCCCATAGTCTGTGTCATTCTGGAAATTCAGATTGTTGGATGGGGTTGGATTTTCCATTTGGCTCTATGCCTAGTGCCCTCAAGGTTCTTAGCCCATAAAGAAGGGAGAAAGCACACAAACTTTGGCAAAAAAAATTGTAGCCTCCCTGGCAGTATTCCCGAGTGTAGCTTGGGGTAAAGTTTCAGTACCACAAGCAGTAACCCTGAGCTACACACGGGAATACCATGAAGCGCTGCTCCACGATCCCTCGATCACTTACCTTGTCCTTCGCTCCCGCGATGTCCCTCCCGCAGTGTCCCTGGCAATGTAATCCAGTGGATGCTGGCATCTGTCATCTGGGTTCCGTCCCCTGCGAGCGTTGGGACGTACGGGGGACGGAACGGTGGGAAATTAAAAAATGACAAAAAGTGACATTCACTAAAATCACTAAAATCACATAGTATTCCATTACTGTATCAAACCATTTCACATACATTTTGTCCCGAGTGCTTTGTCCTGTCCCTTCTCTGCATTTTTACTGTTCTTTCTGCCTGGAAACTGAGAAACGTCCATGGCGTCCAAAAAGCGTCCCTTTAGGTCAAAATCGGTTTTAGACCAGCTAGAGAACAGCGATAGTAAATCAGAACCGAATTGCAGAATTGAGTGATAATGATTCATGGGGAAATTCGTCATCAGACACTGAAAACGATTTTGCGACTTTACTCAGTGATGTGCGAACTTGGCGCTATATTTCAAATTTCAGTGTTTTTGGTTTGATTATTATTATTATATTATTATTTTTTTATGATTATTTATTAAATTATAATTTATGATTTTGTGTTTTAAATTTTATCATACCCGGGATGTTTACGAGACTCTTGTTCGGACAGATTTCAGTGAGTTATTCCTAAGAATTACAGGCCTACAATAAAAAAACAACATATTTCCATGCAAAATAATGGTACCGCTTTCAGCACCAAAAATCTCAAATAATCATACTGCTAGGGAGGTTAAACAAAAATCTCTCTAGAAATACACTGGGAATTGATCTCCTAGATTGTAAGCTCCAAGGAGCAGGGCCCTCTAATCTCTCTTATATTGAACTGTATTGTTGCTGTACTGTCCCCCACTATAATGTAAAGCGCTGAGCAAACTGTTGGCGCTATATAAATCCTGAATAATAATAATATTGTGCTTGTGAGCAGATTGCAGCATAGTGAGTCGACAAGCAGTGATCACACAAAGGCCCAGGAACTGTGTATTGCAGGATCTTCATCAAGGTACAACTAGGCCCAGCTGGTAGACACAACTGTTCAGAGCTACTTACGAAAACTGGAGCAGGAGTCTGTTAAACTTCAGGTGATGCCAATGGCTTCTCCAACGAAGAGCGGGAATGTGACCTGGCTAGTCCACACCCAAATGGGAGGCTTTCTAAGCAGAGAATGTTGTAATCCCTGCACTGTCCCTACTCTTCTGGAACCTTTCCCTAACTCTAAACACTCTCCCTGGCAGATGGGGAACATGTCCCTACACTGTCCACTCACAAACTGTGAGCCAAATCAGGGAGCCAGTGGCTTAAATAAGCACTGTCCTCATCCAAGATGGCCAGGGAGGTCAATCAGGGCCCCAGCATCCAAACAGACAGCTGCCCCTACTGACAACTAAGTTCTTCACACTTTCCTTTCCTTTCTGCATTGCTGCTAAAACCTAGCGCCTACAGAAGGGAGTACAGACTGCACCTGCCTACATGCTCATCCAGTCTCTTTCTCTACCCACCTTGTTCTCAGGGGAGAACTACAGATCAATTAGATTTCCACAAAAATATGGGCCCACAACCAGGGCTTTTTTTTCAGGGGGAACGCAGCAATGAAGGAATGTATGTAATGGCAAAGGGTGCTGGGGGTCCATTAATGCTAATTGTTGGGGGGGGGGGGTCTATTGTTGCTGCTGGGGGAGTTCTATCATTCCTGGGGTGGATCTGTGGGTGCTTGGGGGTATTTTGTTGCTGGGGGATCTGTTGTTGGTTGGGGAGAGGGTTGTTGCTGGGGATGTTCTATCATTGCTGGGGGTATCTGCTGTTTGGGGGGTATATTATTACTGGTTGTAGGGGTTCTTTTTTACAGGCTCTCTTTAACCACTTGCCTACCGGGCACTTATACCCCCTTATGTACCAGGCCAATTTTCAGCTTTCAGCGCTGTCGCACTTTGAATGACAATTGCGCGGTCATGCAAGATTGTACCCATATGAAATTTTTATCTTTTTTTCTCACAAATAGAGCTTTCTTTTGGTGGTATTTAATTGCTTCTGGGCACTTTACTTTTTGTGCTATAAGCAAAAAAAGTGCAAAAAAATTTGAGAAAAAAAAAAAGTTTCTTTGTTTCTATTATAAAATTTTTCAAACAGGTAATTTTTCTCCTTTACTGATGTGCGTTGATGAGGCAGCACTGATGGGCACTGATAGGCGGCACTGATGGGCACTGATAGGCAGCACTGAAGGGCACTGAGAGGCGGCACTGATAGGCGGCACTAATAGGCAGCACTAATGAGGTGGCACGGATAGGCTGCACTGATAGGCAGCACTAATGAGGTGTCACGGATAGGTGGCACTGATATGCGGCACTGATTGGTGGCACTGATAGGTGACACTGATAATGGGTACTGATAGACAGCACTGATAGGTGGCACTGACATCACTGCTGGGCACTGACTGGCGGCACTGACTGGCAGCACACTGCTGAGCTGCACTGATGGGTGGCACTGGTGGGCACAGGTGGGTGGAACTGGTGGGCACAGGTGGGTGGCACTGGTGGGCACAGGTGGGTGGAACTGGTAGGCACAGGTGGGTGGGCAAGGTGGGTGGCACTACTGGGCACAGGTGGGTGGGCACAGGTGGGTGGCACTGCTGGGCACAGGTGGGTGGGCACAGGTGGGTGGCACTGCTGGGCACAGGTGGGTGCATTGCTGGGCACAGGTGAGCGCACTGCTGGGCACAGGTGGGCGGAACTTGTGTGTGGCACTGCTGGGCACCGATCATCAGGGCACTGATGATCAGTGATCCTGATGATCGGTGCCGATCCCCGCTCTGACAACTGCCGGTTTTCGGCAGCACTTTCCTCCCGCTCTGACAGCGTGAGGAAAGTGCAGCCGAGAACCAGCATTTGCATTTCCCGGTGATCAGTGTGTCATTGGACACGGCTGATCACGTGGTAAAAGGCCACTGTGATTGGCCTTTTACCACGTCACGTGATCAGCTGTGTCCGTAGGACACAGCAATCACGGAGATCGCCGGGTGCGCGCCCCCCGGGGGCGCGCAGGAGAGCGCGTTCTGGGAGGACGTCATATGACGTCCACCCAGAACTGGCCGGCCGCAGTGCAACCGTCATTCGGCTATCTGCGGTCGGCAGGTAGTTAATTATTAACACATTCTATACAAATTACATAGCACCAGAAAATGGTACTTGGTTCTGTTTTCTCTAAAAGGGTTGGTACTCGGTAAGAACCAAGGGACAAAGCTCAGAGGTAGGTAGGGGGCAGAGACAAGGGGTGACTTGGAAGAGGGGAGAGCCGGCACCTATTTTCTGAGAAAAAAAAAGCCCTGCCCACAACTCATTTCTGTCTGCATCATGGCTGCGCATATTCCTACCTAGCTATGGTGCTAATGATGTGCAGCTGACACTGGAGCAAGTGCATGTAGACAGGAAGTGGTGGAAAGAGGCTGGGGGAGATCAGGGGCACTGACATACAAAAATATATTAAAAATGGCAAAAACAGTATTTCATAAAAAAAATGGCATTTATGATACAAGCACTTTAGCAAACAAAATAGTGTCCATTTGAGGTTAAGGCTTCACACAGCCACAAGAGGGCAGTACAGCTATACATTCAGGTGTACTGCCCCTTCCAAGATCTACAGGTACTGTATACAGTCACCCAAAGGAATAATTGATTGGCTTAGGTATAGTTGTAAGACTCTGGACACAGACAAGTCCAGAGTCCAAAAATGTGCTTGTTTATGTATGTCGTGGTGTATAGGTGCCTACAGCCATGCACAGCTATTGGTTGCTGTGTGCAGCTGTATGCATCACCTGTGGATCCTGGACAGGAAAATGCACCTGAATGTATGGCTGTATTGCCCTCTTAAAGCCAGAGCTTGTTTTTGGGTAATTTTATTTACTGTTTTAAATTTCTTTTTGGAAACAGAAAATGTCTTTTAAAGTAAGATCCCTGTTGCACACTATCAGCAATTTTGTTGCTTAAATAAATTTGCAAATGCAATAGGCATCTGTATTATGCAGAAGTTGTCTCCTTAGGCTCCTTTCACATGGGGCAGACTCACCAGACTCATCTCCATGGTCCATGTCAGCTCCAGTTATGCAGAGTGGACACAGGCACAGCCCACTCTGGTCAATGGGCAGTCGGATGTAAACAGACCAGCTGTACGTTTACACCCGACCTCCTTCTGATCCAATCTGTCCAGACAGAAGGTAAAGGATCCCCTTCTGTTTGTTTTTAGGGGATCAGATTGGACATAGGCAGGTGTAACGATCACATCTCAGTTTACATCTGCTTCTCCAAAGAGGAGAATGGAGAGTTCAGGTGGTGTTGGGCTTAAGAGACAATTTACATTAAAAAGCTGTGGCTATGCGCTAAAAATACAGTCAGCAATTGTTAGCAAGGAAGGCTGAGAAGCAGCCTGGGTGTGATAACTAGCAGGGGTCAAATTGTGGTCAGAGCTGAGAGGCTCTGCAGACCAGCCCTCTAAATTTCCCCCACTCTAGAACTTTGGAGAAAGGTCTAGAAGTAGTGGGTGGATCTGAGGAGTGGTTGGTCTGTACTTGGCTAATCCCCAACAGGAGGCTTGGCAAGGGGCCAGGACAACCTTTAAGAATATTCAGCAAGGGGAGGAGTTTGGGTCAAAGTTGGAGATGGAGTGAGGCTGGAGAGAGGAGCCTGGGAGGGCGGCCAGATGGTGAGGGGCTCACCTACAGACAGTGGAGGTTGGAAGGAGGAAAGCTCAGACCTTCACTGGCCCCCAAAGCGAGAACCACCTGCGAGGCAGGGAAGCAGTGGCTCAGCTAGAAGGCTTGGTAGCAGCCACCGACCCACCAGCAACACAGGAGAAGGACTGAGTGAGTAGACCTGCACCCCCTGGGCCAGAAAGGAGGCACTCTAGTGGGAAACTGGATTATCCTGCCACCCAGGACTATGTATGTGGCAGACAGTGCCCAGAACAGCTGGATAAAGGAGTATCTGGGGTCTGGGGTGGTACTACAGGAGACTCTGGCCAGCTCTCCAAATGAGACTGTGTTGATGTAAACACTTGTAAATAGTTCTGGGATGTTGTCCTCGGTTTCTCATTGCCACAATGCTTTGCAATGTGCCTTCTTTATGTGTAATACGTTATGATGCCATCCATGGCATCCTAATGTACTGTACAGTAGATGCACTGTAGCATACCGCAACTCACGTAACGTGTTGTGGTATACTGCGTTGCTTTTAAAGGGTCATGTACATTTTTTTCATCTGTTGAGGTGCATCTGGGGCCCATTTAAATTAATGGGCTGCTGCAAAGCAAACCATTCCCTCTAGGCATAAAAATTAAAGGAGCTTGCAACTCTGCAGGTTCATCCCGAATTATTTTGAGTTAATCTAAAAAAATAAAGCTATAGCTGTCAACTTATTTGGTTTCTTCCCCACTTACTTGTATAGAGATCCAGGCCTGACAGTTGTATCCCAGTGAGGCTGCATCCAGGGAGATCTCATTTCTCAGCTTGTAGATGTTGGAAATTGTCTTTTTACAGATAAGTGTTGTTGTATAGCACATGTGCGAGATGAGGTGCATGATGTCATCACCTCATTTGCGCATGCATCATTTGACATTGCACACATCTCTTGAAAAAAAGCCTTTCCCTCCAAGCAAACTCTTGCAAGACTACAGATGAGTACAATGTGCGGTGCATGCATGAGTTATTATTATTATTTTACAGGATTTATATAGCGCCAACTGTTTGCTCAGCGCTTTACAATGTAACGGGAGACAATACAGCAACAATACAGTTCAATACAAGAGGGTTAGGAGGGCCCTGCTCCTTGGAGCTCACAATCTAGGAGGGAGGGGCTAGTGGTACAAAAGGTAGTAACTGTGGGGGATGGACTAGTTGGAAGAGTAGAAGATTCCATTATTAGCTGAGGGCAGGATAGGCTTCCCTGAAGAGATAGGTTTTCAGAGATTGCCAAAAGTGAGCAGAGTGGGCGATAGTCTGATAAATTGGGGTAGAGAGTTCCAGAGGATGAGACAGGCTCTGGAGAAGTCATGGAGATGAGCATGGGAGGAGGAGACAAGGGAGCTAGAGAGTAGGAGGTCTTGCGAGGAGCGGAGAGGATGGTTTGGGTGATATTTGGAGACAAGATTGGTGATGTAATTTGGGGCAGAGTTATAAATGGCTTTACATGTTATTGTTAATGTTTTTAATTTTATCCGTTGGGCAATGGGAAGCCAGTGGAGGGATTGGCAGAGAGGGATGGCAGATACAGACGGTTAGTGAGGTGGATGAGTCTGGCAGCAGCATTCATGATAGACTGAAGAGTGGATAGCCTGTGATGACGTAGGCCAATGAGTTGAGGCAAAACTGGTGGGCCGGCAAAGAAATCAGGGTTAAGAAGCCAGCCACCATTGATGTCTTTTTTTTTTAAGTACTCATGCACACTGGATGTTTTGATAATGCTGGTAACGTTAAAAACGTGAGTTTTTTCAGGTTTTTTTAAGCGTTTTTGCATTAGTGATTAGCGTCGTTTTCCAGCATTTGTTTTTTTTTTTGGTCAAAAAAAGTCCTCAAATGCTGGTTTGTGGTGTTTTACCACATTTTGCTGCGTTTTTCTTTTACAATAGATTTTATTATAGACAACACAACAACAAAGAAACAGTCAAAAGCAAGATCACTGACACAAAAGAATAAGGTATGCAATTCTTCTGATGAAGAACATTACAAATGCACTGAAGTATTGACAAAGAGAGAAACTGAACACATAAACACAATACATAAAAAGATGGAATGAAACCTTATAAGTTAATAGCAAACAAGTAATGACCAATGAGTTAGTAGGCGAAGGCCAAAGATAAGCACAAAATTCACATACAGAGGGTAGGAAGAGCTGAGCACGGAGCCTCACTGGATGCACATTAGTACTCTACACTACAAGGAATCACGAGAAAGTTCAACAGGTATACAAAACATTGCAGGTACGATGCTCTCGTAGTATTACAATCAGCACAAATAGCATGAAGACTAACAAAAACAGAGGAAAAAAGAGAAAAAAAAAAAAAAGAAAAGATGGGAAAAAAAGGGTAGTAAAACAAAGAAAGGGCTCCAGGGGATTGCGCCAGGAGCAGGGGCGGACTGACCATTTGGAAACTCTGGCACTGCCCGAGGGCCTGGGGTCAGTAGGGGGCCCCATGAGATGCCCCTGGTACCTTTTTCATAGGCTTTTTTGAGTTTGGGCAAGGACACAGGGGTCCCATGATCCCCTATTGCCCGGGGGCCCCATGAGTTGTCAGTCCGCCCCTGGCCAGGAGAGTCTTATATTGACAGAAGGGTCTGGTCAAATCTAGACGGTTGGGCCACATCAATCCAGGGGTGCCAGATCTGCAAAAACTTTGGGTGGGTGTCTAGCAGCATGGCCGTTAGCTTCTCATTAACCATTATAAAATTCATTCGGTTCTTAACGGCCTCGAAGCTAAGAAGAAGGATTTTCCAAGCTCTTGCGATCGTTAATTTGGTAGCCATAAATAGATGCGATGCCAGCTACTGCTCAGGACAAAGTAGGCCTACTAATGGTTTAAATAATAGCGCCTTGTATGGGTTGCGCTTGATATCTGTGTGTCACATAGTGCGGAGAAGGGCATAGACCCTAATACTTTGCAGAGTTTTTCAGCATTCAAGCGTTTTTACAGCTAAAAAACTCCTCTAGAAACCCACTAGTCCTGGGGTTTTTTTCCAACCAAAAAACGCTGATTACATGCTATGTGTGCATGGACACATAGGATAACATGCTGGGGGGATTTACTGGCTGTAGAAAAAAACCCTGTGAAAAGCCAAAAACAGCAGCTGTAAAAATGTCAAGTGTGCATGAGGACTAATGGCGACGTGGGACATAGAGCACAGGCAGGACAGACCAGCAGCAGAGCTTGTTTCTCTAAACACATTTCAATGGCTCTGACAGTGTAATGGAGTGGGGCTAAGGTCCGCTTTAACCTCCCTAGCGGTCTGATTATGTCCATATTTCTGTGCTCAAAGGGGTACCTTTTTGTTGCATGGAAAGTTTTTTTATTGTAGGACTGTAATTGTAGGCCTGTAACCTCCCTGGCGGTATGATTATTTCAGATTTTTGGTGCTGGAAGTGGTACATTTTTTTGCATGGAAATATGTATTTTTTTATTGTAGGCCTGTAATGTTTAGGAATAACTCACTGAAATCTGTCCTAACAAGAGTCTAGTAAACATCCCGGGTAGGATAAAATTTGAAACACGAAATCGTGAATTATAATTTATTAAATAATCATAAAAATTAATAATATAATAATAATACATTTAATTCAATAATACAATCAAACCAAAAACACTGAAATTTGAAATATAGCGCCAAATTCGCATATCACTGAGCAAAGTCGCAAAATTGTTTTCAGTGTCTGATGATGAATTTCCCCACAAATCATTATCGCTCAATTCTGCAAGTGGTTCTAATTTACTATCACTGTTCTCTAGCTGGTGTAAAACCGCTTTTGACCTAAAGGGACGCTTTTTGGACGCCATGGATGTTTCTCAGTTTCCGGGCAGAAAGAACAGTAAAAATGCAGGCAGGGCAGAGGACAAAGCACTCGGGACAAAATGTATGTGAAATGGTTTGATACAGTAATGTTTTACTATGTGATTTTAGTGAATGTCACGTCTACAATTTTAAAATTTCCCGCCGTTCCGTCCCCCGTACGTCCTGACGTCGCAGGGAGCGGAACCCAGAAGACAGATGCCGGGATCGGCCGGAGGACATGGCCGGGGACACTGCAGGAGGGACAAGGTAAGTGAAGAACAGATCCCGGAGCAGAGCTGCAAGGTATTCCCGAGTGTAGCTCGGGGTTACCGCTTGTGGTGCTGAAACTTTACCCCGAGCTACACTTGGTAATACTGCCAGGGAGGTTGATGCAACGTATGTGCTGCAATGCGCATTAACGCATGTGCATCATTTAGGTGTAAACGGGACTTAATCTTCTTCTGAAAGCAGCCCTGCTTATATACTGTATATTTCATGGAGCTCAGGATAAACCTAAATGCCCAGAAACCTCCAGCTATGCTATCAGTACTGTCTGACATCTGCGTACTGTGTAGCGGCGAATATGTTTTTATTTAATGCTATATTTCAGGCATGTTGCTCCTCCACCTTCCTGACATCACAAAGCGTACTTTAGGATCTGCTCCTCCACCTCCCCCCTTCTATATAGCCATTTGGAAAACAGCTGTGAACAAGAAATAAAAAAAATCATTTTTTTTTATTTATGTTTGCAATACCATTCCATATTTCCACGGCTGTAGTATTTCTTCATTTCTTAATGTCTTCCGATTGCAATATAGATTGTTAAAAAAAACAAAACAATACGCAAGCCTCATTAGGAGGAAAACACACTCCAGGGTGTACTGGGGTGCTTTTATACATGCCGTCAGGTGGCTGAATTTTGACATAAAAGATTACAATATGCAGCCTATTAGTTGGCTTCCATTAAGACCACATGTTCAGTCACATGTTTATGGTTCTCGGTGGAGCCACACATAGAAAGGATCTCATTCTTATGGAATATAAATCTTGGTCCTGTTATAGCTTTATTATAAAGCTTCATGTTTACTGTGAACACCGGGGCTACATAATGGCAATCCCATCTCCAAAGAGCTTACGATTAATAGGGCGTACATGTACGCTGGTTGGTTGGACAGACTGAGCCGGTTGTTATATTTCATCCTTGGACTTGTTAACGCTTTCTAAAAGGCCTAAACACTTGAATCACATATTACGGCTTGCACTTGTGCCAGAACTTGTTTCTTTGAAAAGCTATATACCGTGCTTTGCCAAAAGACAACTGCAGATGATGTTACAACTAAAGACAGATCCCACCGCTAATTTTCCAAATGATGGTTGGGAGGAGGCAAAAGGGAAGACATTCTGGATTATTTATTGGGATGGTGCATGGAACACTGAGAAGTCATCTTTCACTGAGTAGAGCTTCATGTCAAGTCAGGGCCTGGACTGAGCGAAGCTTAAGGGGAGGGCCAGCATGACTGGGGCTTGCAGATGAGGCGGAGATTGGATGTGGATGGGAGTATATTCAAGAGGTGGGGGTGGTTATGTAAGCCGTGTACCGGGGTGGGCTCCCCAGGATACAGTGAAGTCACGAACGAGGAAAGCAACCCCAACACCAGCTTTTGCCATAACAGAATTTTACTTAGATGTGGCAAATAAACACAACCACAAATGCTGGAAACATACAATAAATTTACATACACCCAGCCCAAAGGTTGAGACCCTTGTGCTGCACAGCACGGCGCCTTCTGATGGATGAAGGTAGAAAGAGTAGTAATTTACCTACTGGCGGGCACAACTAAGCTGCCACACCTTACCCGTTATTACCCTAAAAGAGCAGGAATCAGTGTATGGGTGTATGGTATGGGCTAGCCTGCGGTGCAGCACAACAGCTTACAATATTACACAAATCTACAATATTCCCTCTCCCATAACTGGTCCTGTAGCACGTGCCTGAGTATTCCTTCTTATCAAAACACCAGTCTGGCTTGAGTTTGTAGGATTTTATCAGCTTTCCAATGTGAAATGTAACTTTAAGTTGTGGAGTCCTTCCAATAATCAGTAACAACACTTGTGGCCTGACACAAACACGGACTCTAACTAACTAACTATAGGTCTGTACTCAGTCTCAAGGTGCAAACACTGAAATGAGGTGTGTGCACGATCTTACCGACCCGGGTCTGCTTTGAATCCGCTGGTGACTCTGAACAGAACAAATGTCTCTCCAACAAGCATGCGGTCTCGCCGTATATGTTACTTAGTTCCTCTGCTCTCATCAGCATTCCTGGCAGCAATCTCATCAGCATTCCTGGCAGCAATCTCATCAGCATTTCTGGCAGAAATCTCATCAGCTTCCTGGCAGCAATCTCTGATTACTGAGGGACGCTTTCACACCTGGATTTCATCAGATTCTCAGCTCACATGGCCCCTTATTCACCATGCTCCAAAACATGGCTTCTCACTCTCCTTCCTGTTCTCTCCAGCTCTATGTGCAAAACCCCACCTCTTCATGAATATACAAATATCTATGCAGTCTGAGGCTTTGTTAGAAAAACAGTGACATCTTGTGGCTAAACTGCAGAATGTCAGTCAAAACATTAATTTACTTCCACACAAACAGTGTTCAAACAATGAGAGCTGTTTCCCCATCTCACAGTTACTCACCTGATTGGTGTATTCGAGCTTTAGGGTGGTCTTGCCAGGATGAGGAAAGGGGTTGAGACTTAGAGATCAGTCGGAGCTTGTGCCAGCACGGGTGTGGTTTCTCCCGCTCTCTCTCCCTCCCTGGACCTGTTTCCTTGTTTTGTTTTGCCATTTTGTGTTCTGAGGTGTTTGTCTTGTTTTTTTTTTGTCATGGCAGCCGGCAGGGGTCGCTGGGTCTTTGAAGGCAGTGCTGGAGTGACAATTTGGTGGATTATGGATTGGGCCCATCATAGGTATGGGTGTTCCTTCTCAATTATAAGGTTCCGTTGGTAAGGTAGGAGTTCATTGGCTGTATCTGGGACTACGTAACTGTAGTATTGTCCCCGAGGCAGTGTAGTAGCGGCTGGGGGCCTTATCACTGGGTGTCAGATACGGCCGAGTTATTGATGTGAGTAACAGTGCCTTCGAAGACCTTGGACCCGGTTGGGATCATTACTGTCAGTTATTATTTGATTGTACTGTATGAAGTGTTATGTAAGAGTTATGTTAAATAAATGGGCTGCTATAGCCGATTATACATTAAAAGGAGAGTCGCATGGTTCTTTAGGTGGGGGAAGGTTGAAGGGGTGGTTGATTTATTGGTTAGGTGGTTAGTATTATCCTCAATATTCTGCATGTCCCTCAGTCATGCACATTATCATTGCTCTGGCCTTGCCATTTATTGAATGTGACTCACCATAAACAACTTGTGCTTCAGCAATTTGCCATTAGAAGAGCCATTCAAGGGATGCCTCCTGCCAGTAGACTCAGCTGAAGATGACAAAGGCACACACTTTTTTCTTTTCCGTTCCTTCATGGAAAGAGAAAGAATTTAGTACCATTCATATTTAAAGTGGAATTCCAGCTTAAAACTAACTAGCTGTAGCTCAGTGCTGGAACTGGTCTGGCTGTTTGGTCCCAGGTTCCATTCCCCGACAGGCACACAGCATCCAGACACATGGTATTTCCCAATTGCTCAAGCTAGAGAACAAACTGTGCATGTCTTTCTTTGTGGTTTTTATTTTGTTAGGGGTGAAGGCACCCCTTTGTGAAGTGTAGTCGAAGTCATACTAAACAGGGATGCCACAGCCCTCAGGCTGGGTCTTATTCCCCCAGGAACAAGAAGCCTCTGCTCTGAGTTCCAGCCTATTTATACCTCCCCCAGCCCCCTGCTGGTCACTCTTCATATTAACCAGGGATTGGCTGGAGAGGCATTAATATGCAGGTTGCAGTCTGTCACCCACTATGTTCCTGGATCTCCTGGGAGACACGGGGAAGTAGCCGAGTCCACATCACAAGAGCCCAGAGTAGACCATACCTAAGAATTGCTGCTCTCCATGATTACAGGGAGGCCAAAAAACTAATTTTAAACAACAGTGACCTAATGGGGCACTACAGAGCCTTAAAATGTCCCCTCCCCCTACTAACACCTATGCACGCTCTAGGCTTTACCAGCTGTTATTGAGCCTTCACCTCTTTCCCCTGCAGCTGGCAACACAGAGGATCACAAAGCATCATGAAAGCTGCATATGTACACCCCCCCCCGGCTTCTTCCCTTTCAGCGAAAGGGGGAGTAGTAAAAATGTGGCTAAACTGCTTGGTTTTACTGCCCATGATCATTCGTGTAAATGAGCCCTCAGGCTTTAGGTCGCCATCATGTCCTTTATACAGTACAAAGACTGAGCATGATTATTCACAAAAATCAATATGTGATATAATAATATGCCTACTCGCTGCAGAGTGTTCCAGACGCAGCAAAGACACCCAACTGGCTCTGGAAAATGAAAGAATCTTATACCACATAAATGTAATGATTGACATGACTTACCATAATTACAGTGCCAGAACAACTCATCTTTTCCCCCACGATGTTAAATAAAGGGAAGCTATCATGTATTTCTGCAAAGTTCATTCTGAGTTATTACTGAGTGTTTAGCTGCTGTAGACCCTCCTGTATGCACACTCCTGCTGTTAGTTTCAGAGCTGCTATTAAACAAAGCAAGGCTGATGGCAGGTGTAGTTCTCCTCCACCCAGGAGGTGGTGCCTGGATGCTCAGGGATAGAGTGAAGACCAAAGGGGAAGATGTTCCCCTGCGGTGTCCATAGGTGTCACAGGAGAGGCAGCTGTCTGATTGGACCCTGTGACCTTCTGCTGCTATCTTGGATGAGGGCAGTATTAATAAATAGCAGTGCCCCAATGGGTTTAGCATGTGTTTTGCAGGTGATAGGGTAGGAGGAGGAACCCTGTCTGGCAGGGACAGAGAATCGGAGACAGGGAAGAGTTCCAGTGCAAATAGGGCCAGAATAGGAGGACACCTTTAGTTAGCACTGATCTCCAGTGCCATTGCCACCACTCACACCAGGAGGTTTTGAACCACCACTGTGTCAGCCACCTAAGACCCAGGGTAAGTGGGTAAGACCCACTCAGCTTGTACTGTGTCCACTGTGCCTTAGGATACTAAAACTGCATTAGTTTGCAACCTTCCGGTAGCAATGGGCCAGTTATATTGCTCTGCCACTCCTGTGCCTTAACCACTTGCCTACCAGGCACTTATACCCCCTTATTTACCAGGCCAATTTTCAGCTTTCAGCGCTGTCGCACTTTGATTGACAATTGCGCGGTCATGCAACACTGTACCCATATGACATTTTTATCATTTTTTTCTCACAAATAGAGCTTTCGTTTGGTGGTATTTAATTGCTGCTGGGCACTTTACTTTTGTGCTATAAGCAAAAAAAGTGCAAAAAAATTTGAAAAACAAAAAAAAAAAGTTTCTTTGTTTCTATTATAACATTTTTCAAACAGGTAATTTTTCTCAATCACTGATGTGCGTTAATGAGGCAGCACTGATGGGTGGCACTAATGGGCACTAATAGGCGGCACTGATAGTCGGCACTGATAGGCGGCACTAATGAGGTGGCACGGATAGGTGGCACTGATAGGCAGCACTAATGAGGTGTCACGGATAGGTGGCACTGATATGCGGCACTGATTGGTGGCACTGATAGGCGACACTGATAATGGGTACTGATAGAGAGCACTGATAGGTAACACTGACTGACATCACTGCTGGGCACTGACTGGCGGCACTGCTGGGCACTGACTGGCACAACTGCTAGGCACTGACTGGTAGCAATGACTGGCAGCTGGGCTGCACTGATGGGCACTGGTGGGTGGCACTGGTGGGCACAGGTTGGTGGGCACAGGTGGGGTGGCACTACTGGGCACAGGTAGGTGGCACTTCTGGGCACAGGTGGTGACACTGCTGTGTGGCACAGGTGGGCACACTGCTGGGCACAGGTGGGCGCACTGCTGGGCACAGGTGGGCGCACTGCTGGGCACAGGTGGGCGCACTGCTGGGCACAGGTGGGCGCACTGCTGGGCACCGATCATCAGGGCACTGATGATCAGTGACCCTGATCGGTGCCGATCCCCGCAATGACAACTGGTTTTCGGCAGTACTTTCCTCACGATCTGACAGCTTGAGGAAAGTGCAGCCGAGAACCGTCATTTCCCGGTGATCAGCATGTCATTGGACACGGCTGATCACGTGGTAAAAGGCCGCTGTGATTGGCCTTTTACCACGTCACGTGATCAGCTGTGTCAGTAGGACACAGCGATCATGGAGATCGCCGGGTGCGTGCCCCCGGGGGCGCGCAGGAGAGCGCATTCTGGGAGGACGTCATATGACGTCCACCCAGAACTGGCCGGCCGCAGTGCACCGTCATTCGGCTATCTGCGGTCGGCAAGTAGTTAAAGAAGAATTCTGGGATAGCCAAAAAAAGACCCATTAGTACACTCCCTACACAAAACACTAAACAGCTAATACAATTTTGAAAATCCCTACCATTTAGGAGAAAAGTCTAATTTAATTTTCTTGACTCATCTCTGTAATTTAAAAGATAACAGCATCTGTTCTACCAGGGAGGAGGTGTAACAGCAGGGATTACATCCTATCCTTTCCTCTCTCTCTCCAGTAAAAGGAAACTACAGTTCCCATCAACCACAGGAAAATGTAGTGAATGTGGGCGGATACACTTGGCCTGTACATGTTGAATGTGTCTTGAGAGTCTTGGTTTGCCCACCACAGGACGTGGGACTGAATTACATCACTGCTTCCTGGAGAAAGAACCACAGAAGGGATGTGCCTAGACCAGTGGCTGGGGGAATAGGAGACATAGCAGACACTGGTTTTACAAACAGGAAACCAAAGAAAATTAAAGGTTTGATTTGAAAATGAATAGCCTATATCAGAGCAACTCTGAGTGAACCAGAAGATGGATGACATATTCAGTGAAGGTAGGAAATCAGCATCATGGACATGTAAAGAAGTTTTTGCCCAGAGTTCTGCTTTAACCGCCCTGGCGGTATGATTATTTCAGATTTTTGCTGCTGAAAGCGGTACCATTTTTTGCATGGAAATATGTATTTTTTTTATTGTAGGCCTGTAATTTTTAGGAATAACTCACAGAAATCTGTCCGAACAAGAGTCTAGTAAATATCCCGGGTAGGATAAAATTTGAAACACAAAATCATAAATTATAATTTAATAAATTATCATAAAAAAAATAATAATATAATAATAATAAATTTAATTCAATAATATAATCAAACCGAAAACACTGAAATTTGAAATATAGCGCCAAGTTCGCACATCACTGAGCAAAGTTGCAAAATCGTTTTCAGTGTCTGATGACGAATTTCCCCACGAATCATTATCACTCAATTCTGCAAGTGGTTCTGATTTACTATCGCTGTTCTCTAGCCGGTCTAAAACCGCTTTAGACCTAAAGGGACGCTTTTTGGATGCCATGGACGTTTCTCAGTTTCCAGACAGAAAGAACAGTAAAAATGCAGGCAGGGCACAGGACAAAGCACTCGGGACAAAATGTATGTGAAATGGTTTGATACAGTAATGTTATACTATGTGATTTTAGTGAATGTCACTTTTTGTCATTTTTAAATTTCCCGCCGTTCCGTCCCCCGTACATCCCGACGCTCACAGGGGACAGAACCCAGATGACAGATGCCGGCATCCGCCGGATTACATTGCCGGGGACACTGCAGGAGGGACATCGCGGGGAGCGCAGGACAAGGTAAGTGATCGAGGGATCGCGGAGCAGCGCTGCATAGTATTCCCGAGTGTAGCTCGGGGTTACCGCTTGTGGTACTGAAACTTTACCCCGAGCTACACTCGGGAATACCGCCAGGGGGGTTAAGGACAGTGATAGCATATGGCTGGGACCCACATTGTGCCTAAGCAGAGCAGTACTCCACTGGTTACTGAGAGATAGCGAACCTGTTACCGGAAGTTACTGAACATGTTACTGAATGTTACTGCACCTGTTACTGAGAGTTACTGAGCCTGTTCCTGAGTATTACTGAACCTGTTCCTGAGTATTACTGAACCTGTTCCTGAGTATTACTGAACCTGTTGCTGAGTATTACTGAACCTGTTGCTGAGCGTTCACTTCTGTGCTCTGCAAGTGTCTGTGTTAATGGTGAAATTGCATTCAACTAAATATAATTCTGTGAACCTCATTTGGACTCCGAATGTGCTGCTTTCTTGTGCTGCAAAGAGAAACAAATGATGGAGCTGCTTGTGGGGGCAGTAGTTGGGGAAATGTTGGATTCCTGCTTAACATGTATTTCTCAGAACATGAAACCTGTAAGTATATATTATGCTATAAAGTTTCATTTACACAGCCAGATTGCGTCCCGATCTGTGCACCAGACTTGCACTGATGTACATTCTGGGTTGTTTATGGAGATCTGTGCAGGTCCATGCACCTGGCCATCTGTCATTGATTTGAACAAGCTTCCTGAGCACCCCTATCACATATCTATGGGCAAAATGTAAAATGATATACAGGTGTACCTCGGTTTACGAATTTAATGCGTTCAGCAGGACGTTTCGTATTGCGAAAAATTCATAAACCAAACCACGGTTTCCCATAGGAATGTATTGAAAACCAATTAATCCGTTCAAGAGGTCAGAAAAAAGTAAAAAAAAAAGTTTTTATTTGTTCAAAACTCTTTATAAAGGGCACTTTAAAGGCATAAATACTGTACAGGGACATGTTAAAAGATTTCCAGAATGGCTCCAAAACTCGGTGCAAAAACCACTCCAACACCTCCATACTCTATGCCACGTGCTACCCACAGACTCCAACATGCATGGGGACCGGTAGTATAAACCTCCCAGGCGCAATTCTTCCTAGGGAAACTGGCCTCGTATTGTGAAAAAAAATTGTAAATGCATTGGAAAACCAACTAATCTGTTCCGGAGGTCAGAAAAAAGTAAAAAAAAAAAGTCTTATCTGTTCAAAAACTTTTTGTTTTTATTTCAGGTACTTTTAAAGCACTGTCAATTTACACAGCGCTTTCCATATATATTGTACATTCACATCAGTCCCTAACCCTCAAGGGGTGTACAATCTAAGGTCCCTAACTTACATTCATACATACACATACTAGGGCCAATTTAGACAGGAGCCAATTCATCTACCAGCATGTCTTTGGAGTGTAGGAGGAAACCAGAGTACCAGAGGAAACCCATGCAGTCACAGGGAGAACATGCAAACTCCAGGCAGGTGGTGCCGTGGTTGGGATTTGAACCGACGACCCTAGTACTGCCAGGCAAAAGTGCTAACCACTTAGCCACTGTGTTAAGTGCTATAATGTGCACTTTAAGGGCATGGGGCCGGCACAGCAGAGCAATACAAAGCAGCTTGTCTCCCTAGTAAAACACACACAGCACATAATGTCAAACACAACACAGCACACAGTTTACCCTTTGATTGCCTCAGATGTTAACCCCTTCCTGCCCAGTGTCATTAGTACAGTGTCAGTGCTTTATATTAGCACTGATCACTGTATTAGTGTCATGATGTCAGAATGTGTCAGAATGAAAAAAGACATAAATTTCATGCAGCATTGCATGACCACGCAATTGTCAGTTAAAGTAACGCAGCACCGTATTGCAAAAAATGGCCTGGTCAGGAAGGGGGGCAAATCCTTTGGGGGGCAAGTGGTTAATATCAATCAGCTGTTTTAAATTGTCATACAAATATATATTTGAAATTAAATCTTTATTATTTTTTGGCAATAACATGGTGTGGGCAGATTTCTTCCAGCAACAGGCTGTGTCACACCCCTCCAGCCTGTGTACTAGAATAAGAGGGAGGTGAATCCTCCATCAATCAAGATGTAACATCCCACCCACATTGTGTTTAGCTGGTTAGTGGGCATGGAGGAAGAGGGAGGGAGGGGGCTGTCATTTACCACTGTGTATACACCCATATGTGTGACTCTATAGTCACATGGGCTGCTCTGATATGAAAGAGAGGAAATGCTCAGCATAGAAACTCACTGAAAACTGAGCATGTGCAGAGTTGCCAACACTGCTCTGCAAAATCGCCATCTGCATTGGGGACTTAGACAGAAGGGAGAGATAGAGAACAGCAGGATCAACCAGGTTTTTTGCAGAATACAAAAAACAAATCTCATAGTGACTGAATGAGTATGAACTGCATGTAATACAGCATTTATTAATATGTTTTTGTGTTATAGGTTTAGTGACACTTTACACTTTTATTGGATTGTCATATAGCTATTGTTTGATTTACAATGCTGGTGTTTTAAAACAAAATTGTTTGCTGTGACCATAAATCTTCTTTGAGGAAAATAGTTCAGAATTTGTCATGGCTGTAGCGTTGCCACCTCATCCCTTTAAAACTGAACAAATATTAATTACACAGGTTCTGTGGCTGATGAAGGTGGTAATTAACCATTTGCCGACGGCAGATAGCCGAATGACGGCTACACTGCCGCCAGCCAGTTCTAGGAGGATGTCATGTGATGTCCTCCCCGAACGCGCCCTCCCGCTCGCCCCCGGGAGCGCGCACCTGGCGATCTCCATGATCGCTGTGTCCTATGCTGATCACGTGATGTGGTAAAAGGCCAATAACAGCGGCCTTTTACCACGTGATCAGCCGTGTCCAATGACACAGCAGATCACCGGTAAAGGCAGTTGCTGGTTATCGGCTGCACTTTCCTCTTGCTGTCACAGCAGAGGAGGGATCGGCACCAATCATCAGGGCACTGATGATCAGTGTCCTGATGATCGGTGCCCAGCAGTGCCACCCACCAGTGCCGCCCACAAGTGCCCAGCAGTGCCGCCCACAAGTGCCGCACATCAGTGCTGCCCAGCAGTGCCTCCAGTCAGTGCCCAGCAGTGCCGCCAGTCAGTGCCCATCATTGTTGGATATCAGTGCCAGCTCATCAGTGCTGCCTATCTGTGCTGCCCATCAGTGCCCGCTACTACTGCCTATCAGTACTGACTATCAGTGCAGCCTCATCAACGCACATCAGTGAAGGAGAAAATATTACCTGTTTGCAAAATTTTATAACAGAAACAAAGAAAACAAATTTTTTCTCAAAATGTTTGCTCTTTTTTTGTTTATAGCACAAAAAATAACACGTCCAGCAGTGAGTGCATGCCACCCAAAAAAAGCTCTATTTGTGTGAAAAAAATTATAAAAAATGTAATATGGGTTCAGTGTTCCATGACCACGCAATTGTCACTCAAAGTGCGACAGCACTGAAAGCTGAAAATTGGCCTGGGCACGAAGGGGGTATAAGTGCCCGGTAGTCAAGGGGTTAAACTCTTAGTGCCTTATCTGTATTAAATTAGCCCCAGAACCTGTGTAATTAATATGTGTTTGGTTTTAAAGGGATGAGGTGGAAACCATACATGGCTGGACGAATGCTTGTCACATTCATCCGACCAATTTTTTTTATATACAGACCCTGTAGACTTGTATTGCATGAAGGAGCAGAAAACCATTGTGTACACTGCAAAGCAAGAAGCAGAGCCTCCATAAGTAAATGTGGCTGTCCCGTGTACATATCTAATTACAAACCATTATTAGGAGCAAGGTTGGAAAATGTTAACACACTTAGATAACAGTATTAACATCAAACTGATCTCTTCTACACGTATGTAAAAATAAAAACCCACTGAAAAGACTACATGTTTCCTTTAAAGGGGGGATTTTCGTTGTTGCATGACTAATCTGCATTAAACTGGCCATGACTTTCTAGTTCCCCTCCCATAGTAGACATATGATCTGCATTATAGGCCGAGTACCTGTCACTTCCTGTGCTGATGCGCTCTGGGCTTCTTCTTTCCATGCAAGCATAAAAATCTTTCACTTTCTTCATCTGTTTCACAAATGCTTCTAACAAGCCTGAGCTGGAGGCCAAACCATTCTCTATAGTAATGAAAGAAATCGTGTTGTGGACCCAGACTGATGGCCTTCCATCCAAAGTCCTGCAATTAGGACTTCTACTTACCCAACCGGATCAGATCTCCCCACCTGTTTGTTTCAGTTATTCATGCCTTGGGACTTCCCGGACAGAGGAGAGATGTCAAATGTCAAGCTCTCCAGCTGAATAACGGGAATAAAGAAGCCACACAGGATGGGAACTGTAAGGCTGAACATTCAACAACTCTTTTCATACAATTGCTGACTGGAGGATTATAAAGAAATTAGGATTGACTTCTACAACCCTTTACATAATTGTAATAGAGGCAGGTGTATAATAAAATGAATGATCATTGTTTTAACATCACGTGCTTTATTCAGTTAAATTGAGCTTGAAGAGCGCACAGAATTTCGGATCCTAAGGGCTAAGGTGTGTGACTCTCATGGGTAAATTCTGGAGCTTTAGCCCAAAATATTTGGCAAAGACTACTACAACAAAATGATTGTCAAGAGGCTATTTTTGAAAATGCAGGCTTAAATGACACCTAAATGAACTCAACAAACGCATTTAATAAACAAGTTTTTAGAAAAATTGTTGTAAGCAGAAAATCCATAGAAATAATTTCATATTAGCATTTGAAGTTGTCATTACATGAAACTGAGATATATAATGATATTAAAGGCAATTGAAAAAAAAATCACACTTACCTGCTCTGTGCAGTGGTTTTGCACAGAGCAACTGAAAGAGCAAAAGATCCGTTCCCGGTAAGTGCCGAATCTGTATAACCCCTCCACAGACACACTGGCCCCAATCTGTGATCACAGATGCAATGGAAAAACAGAATGGTTGGCCGCACAAACAGCGATGTGGTGGATGAAATCCTTTATTGGAATCCTTTACATGCAATATGATAAATACATGACAGCTCCAAGACAGGACAGAGGCACGGTAGATGCGTTTCACCCGAACACTTGCTTAGTCATTACTGATTTTCACTTGTCAGAGGAAGCTTTAAACAGAATATAACAGCTGATGACAATTGGCAATTAAACTTGAATCAGGAATAACCCCCGGTTCACATATATGCGGCCGTGCGGGCCACGTTTTGCACGTGCACGAGAGCCCATTCATTTGAATGGACTCCCATGCCCGTGACACGCAAAGACGAAGTCTCTGCACTTCTTTGGAAAACGCAGCCCACACGGGAACCTCAGTTCCCAGTACGGTTGTGTTTTCCAGTGCGGGCAGCGTGCCAATAGAACTAATGGCACCCGCCCGCTGGTCCACATTTCTCTGTGCGGGTGGTGCGGCTGCACAGATTTTTTTGCGGATCCTCAGCGGCACCAACAACATTATATAGTATACAAATCACATGACACAACTTTAAAAACATGACATATACTGGCAGAAATGAAAACACACCTCTGATATACGTCATACCTGGAATAAATCACAGATATGTGAAATTTGGAACTGGCATAATAGGCATAATAGGCAGATACCTAAAACCTTTATTGTGTTCGGTGCAGACAGGAAGGAAAATAACAGCCCTAAATATAATAAAGAAAAATATAAAAAGAAAAAATAAAAATAAAATCAACTCTACTCATTAAAATGAGTAACATCCCACTCGGCATTCAGACCTTGAGGGATGCGTGAATAACAGATAAGGACAGCGCCTCTGGAATTAAAAAAAATATAAATAAGGAATATGTTTAAGGAGAGCCACTATCAACCCAAACAGGGCAACCAACCAAAGCAATAAATGAGGGAAGCGTGTCCGCAAATGAAAAATCCAAAAAACCTCCCGTTTGCACAGAACACGAAAGGTGTCAGCCTCTCTAGCAGGAGTCTTAACCCTTTGTATCACTTGAATACCAATTATGGAACAATCACCACCATGTAAAGAGTTGAAATGTCTAGATACATTGGTGGAACGATTGTTTCTCACATCACCCAGATGTTCACAAAACTTACCTTTCAGTTTTCTGCTTGTTCGTCCCACATATTGTGTATGACGAGCAAGACAGGTGGTGAGATAAATTACATATTTGGTGTTACAATTAACACCAAATTACACAAGTTACAAAAAAAATTGATGTGAAAAACCTTTCCATTACTGGTAGAAGAAAAACTATTCCCTGTAATCATGTGGGAACAGGACAAGCAATCCAATGCACCACATTTAAATTTGCCCTGAAAGTGGAGCTAAGAAGTAGATGAAATGAATGTTGGATTGAAAAAACTTAAGTTCCTGCCTAGAGAGAGTGCCCTTCTGGAAATAATGTTAATACCCTTACTCAGAATTTTGGAACAAATATTGTCATTGTATAAAATCGGTAAATATTTATTGACTATATTGTTTATTTGTCCAAATTCTGAACTGTATGACAAAACCAAAGAAGAATAACTAAATTTATCTGATTGTTTTTTCCTAGTACCTTTAAGTATCTTTGATCTATCTTTTTGTTTTGCAATACCATAGGCTCTATCAAGAGTGCACTTAGGATATTCTTGCTCTATAAACCGATGAAACAATGATTGTGATTCCCGTTCAAAATCTGAAGTATCAGATTTGCACAGAGCAGCCTCGATCCTCTTCTTCTTGGGTCCTCCTTCAGCGCTCCTGACCCCTCCCTCCTGCCAAGTGCCTCCAGAGCAAGTAGATTGCTATGGGGGCACCCAAGCAGACTTGCTCTTGAGCCACTGCTCTTTGTGTCCATTCACATACAGAGCAGCAGTCAGCCCCACCTCCTCTCTCTCCTCATTGGCTCACTGGCTGTGATTGATAGCCAATGGCTCCCGCTACTGTATCAGCCAATGAGGAGGTACTTGGGGGAGCTTAGGCTCTTGTGCACATTGCTGGATCATGATGGGGCTCAGGTAAGTATTAGGGGGGCTGAGGGGCTGCTGCACATAGAAGTTTTTTTTACCTTCATGCATAGAATGCATGAAGGTAAAAAACCTTCAGCCTTAAGCCTTTACAACCACTTTAAAGCTCAACTCCAGGTAGACATTAAGAGATTTCAATGTATGTATTAATTTTCATTTTAAGCACATTAGTCTCCTATAATGCTCTACTGTATTGCATGGTGCTGTCAGTCTATACTGGAGTCTAGTTAGCAAGCTGGTGGTGGGTCTGACCAGGTTCAAGTGCTTAAAGATAAACTCCATGAATGACCTGCATTTATTTTCTCTTTAAAAGAGGCATTTAAGGCTGCATATGATCACCTTGTATAAATAAATAGCCCCTACAGAAAACTGGGTGCAACATGGCTTATTTTAGGGTTTTTGCAACTAACAAGGGGGTACTGAAGCAAAAGAGGTGCCTCTGGGCACAAGCAGATCCTCCACACATGGAAGGGTTTCTTTGCAATAAGATCTGTAAAAATATGGAAAAGACTTCCACAAGATCAAGTTCTTGCCAAATCTGTAGATTGTTTTAAAAAACGGGGTGTTTTAAATCAGGGGTCTCTAAACTACGGCCTACAGGCAACATCTGGCCCACTACAAGATTTTATCTGTCCAAACAACCAGGGCCAATGGCATATGTTCAGACTCAGTGCACAAACTGAATAATTAGAACAGTTGGTCTCTGCTTCTGATGGGGGCTCTGATCTAAGGAGGAACTCTGATGGCGACCCTGATGTATGGGGGAACTCTGGTATGCAAGGGGGGCTCTGAAGTGATGGGGGAACTTCTGATGTGAAATGGGAACTCTGATGTGATGGAAAGGCTTCTGATGTTATGGGAGCTTCCAATGAGAAATTATTTCTTGGAGCCCGCTTATTAATTAATTTAAATTATATTAATATATACTGATTTCTTTTCAGCCTGAGAATATTTGTAAAAAATATGGTGTGGCCCTTGTACTGAAAAGTTTGGTGACCCCTGTTATAAATGATATAATGTTTTTTAGAAAATGTGGCACCCTGTCCTAAACAAGGGCTATTGCCCAAATGTAGTTTTTGGCTGGGTGTTAGTCAGTCCAG